AATTTCGTCTTTTATTAAGCGGAACACGTGCATCTCACTTGATTTAACAACTGTCCATTGAAAAACAAACAACTCGAAATTTTTTTTTAAAGGAAGAAGTATATATATATATATATATATATATATATATATATATATATATATATCACTGAGGTCGCGCGGTGATGATAATAATTTTGATCGTGACATAAACCTATGAATTGTTAATCTGAATGAATAGATGTTCTAATTAGTCCGACCAAAATACATTGTGTAATTAACTTATAATAATTATCGATAGTTCAAATTCAATTGGAATAATATGAAAAGTTTAAGCGTTTTCTTTTCTCTTTAACTAAAGGTTCACAAAATAAGATGAATAGCTTTTCGTCAAGTAGACTGTTGACAATAATAAGGAAAGGGTTAATGTCATTAGATAAACGACCAGGTCATATTAGAATAGCTGTAATGTATTGATTAAAAACCAAAGGAAATGGTTTTACTTAAAGCATAGTTAAAGTAATAGGAATGTATAATAATAACATATTGACTCTGGTTAAATAATCACCTCTTCTTTTTCTTTATGTTATTTCAATGGGTTCAACAATATTTAAGCAGAATGTATATAAAGTATGCAAAGTGTGGCTACCCATCGAAGACAGTCGTACAATATCGTGGTTCGGTTGGAGTTAGGAAATAACACCGTTGGATCCCGGTTCAGTGGTCCAGATGTTAAGGTTTCGCTTGCAAGACCGAAGCTCCTGACTTCGAATTCCGCGTGTGGGGTCGTTGATGCGCACTACTGGGAGTCCCATGCTAGGACGAAAAAGTTGTCCAGGCCTTTCAGGTTTTTAGTGCTGGTCTAACATTGATCATTTCTTCATCTCAATCAAAAGTCAACAATTTACACAAAAATAAGAATAATATATTTCTAATATCCTAATGAGTGGAAAAATTATATTTTTGACGTTTCGTGACTCAGTCTAAGCCATTTCTTCAGAGAACAACTGAACAAATTAAATTAACTTAAGCTTGAATAGTATTAAAAAAACAAAGCAGTTATATTCGGTGCGGCCAACCAAAAACAGATGTTGCCAAATCAACGTTATGTCATTCAGGTCGTGATTTATGCAAGGCATTTTTGTGTGTGTGTGTTCGATGATGGGAAATGTGACATTTATGGTTCGAAGGGTTAGAGTTGGATTTGTATGTACGATAATGGTGTGAGATGTGAATAGAATCAGACACGGTAGCTCGGATAGATGATCCATGTCTGATGGATTGTGAAACCTTTTTCATGGAGTGCAGTAGGATTAAACAATATATAGGAAGCTTCAGCTACTCAGTTTTCTTTGTAGTTGGATAACCTCCTTTGTATTATTTTTATGTTTTTAATACCGATATACAGTATGCTGTTTAATAGTACTTAGGTATTTACTTATCTTAATTTCAAACCGTATGCTCCATTACTGATATTACTTTAATACAGGAAAAAACTGGAAGACATACACTCTTTTTTATTCCTCACTTAAGACATTTACCAAATTTCATTAAAATCATCACTATTGAAAAATTGAAAGCACTAAACATACTTTTCGTCCTAGTATGGGACTCTCAGTAGTGCGCATCAACGACCCACACGCGGAATTCGAAGTCAGGAGCTTCGGTCTTGCAAGCGAAACCTTAACATCTGGATCACTGAACCGGGATCCAACGGTGTTATTTCCTAACTCCAACCGAACCACGATATTGTACGACTGTCTTCGGTGGGTAGCTGATTTACCTCTGACACGGTTGAACTCCACTGATCACAGTCTCTCACTGGATCTCCGTTAATTTTCTCAAAGATAATCAGTAGTAAGCACATGATAATTTTGGGGTACTATATTCCTGTGAACTGTGACAAATTTTTTCTCAACTAGATGCAATTGGAGAAAATACATCAGTTTTGATGTAAAAGGAAACGAAATTCAGTGAGGAAAATATCCAAATTTATTCGTATATAGTTTATAATGTAACCACTTTTTTACAGCATTTAACAGATTTAGGTTGAATGTGAGATATAGAAAACAATTTGTAGCTCAAGAAGATTATTTCGGTTAATAATACAGTGTAAATCTTCATAATTCCCAAGTAAATCTATGTTCAGAGAAATGAGTAGAATACTGTTAATCTCTTACAGTGAATATTACTAATTTTTTGGAATTATTTGATAATTAAGAGTATTTGAATTATACTATAAACTAAGAATCTCAGAAATTACGCAATTGAATCAAGAAGTACTAGACAAGCACAAAAAATGTACTGTATTTGAAATTCGAAACCAAGCATTCAACATGTACAAAGGACTCCTCAGTTTATCCAAACACCACATCCGCCACAGCTTAAATTGGAGTCTAGGTGTTTGTAATCAATCGTACGTCTTCTTCTCAAATTCATCCTGAGTCTGTCTGACATTGTATTGGAAAAGGACTCTGTATTATCTAGAATGTACTCATTAGCATTAGAATTAACAACCGAAATTGGAACAGACTAACCTGGTTCCTGGTACTGCATTTGATCAACATGTCAATTGTGTGTACTTAAGTCAATGATATCTAGAATTCGCATCATAAATTTCCCGACATTCTTCAGCACAATCCCCGTGGGTGGTCGAAGATCATTTCCACGATAATGTGTTACCTCTGCAGACTCCAAACATCTCATATTCGACCGAAGAATTCTTCCTTTTAATAGCTTTGATGGAGTCTCTTTCGTCACAGAATGTCTGGTGTTGCTATTTTGCAGTAGAAAAATATCTTCTCCCCTCTTCCCCACATTAAATATTGATGCAGTAATAGAATCAATATGAGTTTTCAATGTCCTGACAAAATTCTCTGCCTGACCATTAGAACATGGATGTCTGGGAGCAGTAAACAGATGTTTACATCCTGCACCATTCAACCAGGTACTCACTGCATTTGCAGTCAAATGAGAGCCATTATCAGTCATTAACATCATGGGATCCCCTTCTCGACCAAACACCTTTCTTAATGCTTGAATTGTGAAGTCAGAATTTGGTTAAGTTGTGAAAAAATTTCAGGCCACTTTGAAAAAGAATCAATGACTACAAGTGCATAGTATTTGACAAGAAATGGACCACAATAGTCAGCATGAATTCTATACCAGGCATCAGACGATACTGGCCATGGAGTCCACTTCGAAGGATGATTTTTCAACTTATGACTCTTTTCACAATTGTTTGGTGTACGATATATATCTGAGCCTTACCAAGGAATTCATTTTTCAACACCTAAATGATCACTATGAAGATCTTCAAGGACAGATTTACGCAATGAAGGAGGAATGGCAACACGATCATTTAAACACAGAATACTATCATGATTAGTGGATAGCTCATCCCGCTTTGAAAAACATACAGGACATCTACGTTTCAGATTAGCATTCCAACAATTCCGTATAGCACTGAGTATACATCCAAAGTATCTACGAGTTTCTCTAATGAGATCTGGACATCTCACTGGTAAAGGTTGCACTAACAAACAGTCTGAAGTATTAATCGGTCTATCTTGTAATGATTGCCGAGAAACGTAGTCAACGTGTTGGATTTGTTTGGCACTTCTCTTCTGAACCGTCTAGTCATATGCACTCAAAGAAATACTTCATCGTTGAACCATAACAGCTGAGGAACGTGCTAAGGATTTTTCAGGATGATAAATAAACTTTAAAGCTTCATGATCAGTAACAATAGTGAATTTCTTTCCGAATAAATATTTATGAAGTCTTTTAACAGCCTAAAACAGCTAATCATTCTCGCTGAGTCTGTGAATAACCTTGTTCAGTAACAGTAAGTTTGCGTTAAACACAATCAACTGGTCTATCTTCCTGCTCCAAAACTGCGCCAATACCCACAGATGATGCATCAGTAATGAGTACAGAATGTACGCTCGGGGAGTAAGTTCGATGACCAACATCATTTTGAAGGAACTTTAGTAGACTTCGTAAGCATGACTCTTGTTCTTCACTTCATTTGAATGAATTGAATGTCAAAATATTAAATAAACAATTCGCACGACAAGAAAAATTAGGAATAAAACGGGAATAGTATTGAAGAGCACCCACTAGTGAACGTAATTCTGTAAGATTTTTTAGAGACAGTGCATTTGTCAGTGGAGCTAGTCGTTTCATATCTGGTCTCAAACCATTACCATCAACTAGGTATCCAAGACATTCGAAACTAGATACACAATATGGACACTTGTTTGGATTCACTGTAATATTCCTCTCAATTAAACGACGCAATAAAGCAATAAGTCTCTCGTCATGATCTACCTTATCAGAACAATGAACAATGAGATCATCTTGATACACTTCAACACCTTCAAGATCACTAACTACTTTATTCATAACTTCCTGAAATATGGCTAGAGAACAACTTAGACCAAATGGAAGGAAATCTTATTTGAACAGACCAAAAGGAGTGTTAATTATCGTCAAAATAGATGAAGATTGATCTAAAGGAATTTGAAGATAAGCATCTTTTCGGTCAACCTTCGAGAACACTTTAGAACCGTGAAGTCGATTTAGAATATCTTCAGCCTCTACCGTCGTACACGTTTGCTTCAACAAACGGGAGTTCAATGTTAATCTATAGTCACCACAAATTCTAGGGGTCTTGCCGTCCGATTTCTGTGGCGTAACAATAGGAGTACCCCATGCTGAAAACTCAATCGGTTCAGTTATTCCTTTCTCACACAAATCATTTAAAGTCTTATGTACTGCTTCTTGAAGACCATAAGGAATTACTCGTCTTTTAAGAAAGACTGGTTCACCCTGTACTTGGAGTTTTATAGGCTTCTATACCAAATCAGTCATCTCTGTTCATTATCTACTTCTACAATAAACCAGTTGAATCTTTATATTAAGTTCTCAGTAATTTCTATTGTTCTTAATCATGAAAAATATTGTGTCCATCTATTTACTTTATCAATAAGAATATAAATCACTTTTCTTAAATCTAGGTTCATTACGTGATTTTATGCGACAACGTCAGCCACAGTTTTGTAATCGACCAGTTGTTATGTCTGATATTTGTGCTCAAGTAGCAAATGGAATGGCTTACTTGGAACAAGAACAGTTTGTACATCGGGATTTAGCAGCACGAAATTGTTTAGTAAAATCAATTAGTCAAAATTCAGTTCACGTCAAGGTAGCTGATTTCGGTATGGCACGTTTTCTACTAGATAATGTATATGAACCAAGTGCTGGAACGAAATTCCCTGTTCGTTGGGCACCTCCTGAAGTATTTCAGTCTACTTATACAGCTAAAGCAGATGTATGGAGTTTCGGTAAGTCAGTAGCATCATTGAATATTTATTCACTTGATAATATAAAACCTTTTATTTTTCTATTCAAAAGTTTATTTAATTTTTTTGTTCTCACGTTCACTTAACAAAAATGTAAACAGAATTTCAATAAATCCAAAAATTTTTTCATGGAAAGAAACCACTTAAACTTTTATCATTATTATTACGAATAGGCGAACATCATCCATACCCCAATATTTAGTTTAACAACAGTATAAAGAGTCGGTTTCATTTGGTCTACTTTAAGCAGTCGGTTTTTTTAAATTGTAAAATAAGTTTTTTATTCAAGATTTCTGTAAGGTCAACTTTTATCCAAAAACTATCATCTTTTTAATTGATTATTGGTTTTCCGTTTGTTTTATATATCCATGTTTTCTTTTACTCTGATATTGCTTCTCTTTTCTCTCTGCTTAATCTGCCTAATCGAAGGTCGTAAGGCTAAGCTGGATATAATTTGATAAGAAAATTCGAAATTATGTAAGACTTCTTGTTTATCGTATTTAATATTTGTTTGTTTTTGTAGACTCAAAATTATAACATTTGGAAAATATCATACGTATAAAGTATTATCGACCAGAAGGCTTAATATCCCATCAACTATCAGGTACTCATGTGACAGAACAAAGCGTTATTGATTACCTTGCGAATCTTCCAATATTTAACCAGTCATTTGTAATCTGATTAACAACTTTACATTTTATGTTTGGGTTATAAATTTAGGTCTTTAGTAGTATACTCAGCTGTCTTAATTTCTAATAACTTTTCAGACAGGACTTGAATTATACCTTCATTCATTTTAGTATTTTTTTTGTTAACGTCCAATCATCTCAGTCATATGAGGTTATGCATGTATTTTATTCATGATTACCTCAAAAGATTTTTATCAAATGTTGATGGTATTTAGAAATCTGAGCAATTTTCTTCCTTATGAACTTCATGATTCTACATCATATTTTCTGTAGGACATTTTTAAACTAGCGTGCTTTGATTAAATTTTCACAAAAATTAAATATAATTGTTTTATTAAAACAAAGTGCTCTTCATATTTTTTTATCATCATCATATAAACATTATTATTAGTATTATTATTGTCCTTTTCAAATGATTTTCTATCTTTATCGTTATTTATTGAAATGACTTAACAATGTTGTGATTTGTTATCGTACATTATCTTGTTTATTGTTATTCAATAATTTGTGGATTTCACTTGCATCCTTCACTGTTATTTCTCAGTTTTAGTAAAAATATGTTTCAAAGAAACACCATTAATCCATTTTATCAGTAGTACTTTTTTCAGGTATACACCTCATCATACCTCTTATTCGGTTTACTGATTGAAGTTTACTTTATAACTCTAATTAGCATTTACAGACTTTAGATGTCGTGATTAAAAGTTGGTTATATTAGCACTGTTAGATTTGTTCATTTTCTAGTCTTAAATACTAGATTTTAATATTTCATGTTTTTTATTTCTCAGTTTCGTGAATGTGTATAGCAATAGTTACGTGACTGGTACATGAAATCGGTGCCAGAATATGAAATATATTTACTAGAAGAATTACATGTATAAAACGCCTAACCCTGAGGTAGCATTTGGTTTTTTCCTATATATGTTTACATTCAAGAACTGATTACTTTAATTTTGCTAGTTGCCTGTATCAAAATGATGAATTGTACATTGAATTTTACAGAAAACATTTTCCAGAAATTCTTCAATATTTCCGAACTTCGAATTTTGTCTTCCCTTAAAAATTTTCCAACTCATGACACTGAATAACTGTACATACTAGTTAATGCATCTAACATTATTTATTGATCAGTCATATTTTCATCACCTGCTTTTTTATCTGAAATTTCTATGACAAAGTCAATATTACTTCCTCGATTTTATTCGGTGTGTTAATATTTTTCTCTAATAAAACCCTATTTAATTCACCAATCATCATGTACACAAACATACATACATGAACAGACAAATTGTAATATATATATATATATAATTGGTGAAAGATATTCCCTATGCTTGCTTTATTACTGTTACCATTATTATTTTGAACGGAATTAGAATCACTTTTGCTTCTTTTCCTTCTGTTATTCTACCCTTATCTCCACATGTGTGCTTTTTGTTTAACCTGAACCGAACTGAATTATATATATATATATATATATATATATATATATATATATATATATATATATATATATATATATATATATATATATATATATATATATAAGCACAAATGTTGATATGTGGGAAGAGTATGCTAGCTTAATATTATTGTGTTAATTTATGTTCAGTTAATGATATCTGCAGCTGTTTAACACTTACTGCTGACTTATAAACAGGGAGGAAAATTAATATTCATAAATGGGATTGGTTTTTCTGACGAACACATTAGGTTTGCTTTGAAAAAAAAACTCAATTTTTTATTATATGTCGGAGGAAAATGTAAAGGTCATCTATTTAAGTAATTAGCATAACATTGTGTGATTTATATGACCATAGGCTAACCAATTTAATGCTAAGAATAATTTGTATAATTAACTAAATACGTACAAATTGGAATAAGATCATAACTTGTTTTAAATGTTCCTTGTTACTGGTTCTTTCGGAATGAAAGGTAAATTTAAATAAATTTATTCACCTAGTACTTGAATATGAGTTATAATCTTAGTGTGTCATGCTCACCCAGTTGCTTAAGCCGAAGTAGGTGAAGCGAAGCTTGAACCTGAGACTCTGAGGCTAAATGTCATGGTCATGCCCTCAAAATTTATCGTTAGGGCTAATGAAAAAAACCACCGTTGTTTTAATGTCAGGCACTAGTTAATATAAACTTGAGCTTATGTTAACAACTCTTAGATTATTTTGAATAGTTATCATACCCCACCCTTAAGTAATTGGTCGATTAATATAATTTTTTAAGACGTATGGTAAGTAACATATTGATTGTGATTATTTCATTGTTCAAGGTTGCACAAATTTGTACCGCGTATTTACTTGAAGCAGATGTGTAAATTGTCTTCCAAATAGTTTTCGATAAAACTGTAAATTGACTTTTATCGTTTTCACGTTAATGATATTCCATTTATAATTTTTGTCAGTATTCAAAAAATCTCTTTCATTATAATCTAGTATTTATATAAGGATGTAATAAATAGATTTCTGAATTCATTAACGTATCACCACATGTTTCTCGTTTGCAATCCAAATAACTAGTTGCATAGCGAAATTAATTCTTTTAACTGAATGCCTTTCTCATCAGAAATGTGTTTTTTTTTTAAATCTCTATTGAAGTTCATGTGGATTCCATAGTATACTTGTTAATTTCCTAATATTTATGTCTTTTCTATCTTGAGAATTGCCTCAATATTTTTTTATTATCAATATTCTTTTTTATCCTATTTGTTTTTTAATCTTAACTAGGTGTGCTTATGTGGGAAGTGTTTACCTGCTGTTCAGAAAACCCTTATCAAGGCATGAATAATACACAGGTTTATCAGTATATTGTTGGCGGTGGGCGACTGCATAAACCTGCTGTATGTCCTGAGCGAATTTATGTTTTGATGCTTGAGTGTTGGCAACATGTAAGTCTTGACGTACTTCCCTTATTTCATTTAAGTAATTAGAATAGTTTTCTTTTTTGGAATCAGAGTTAATTTTTATCAACAAACTAGGATGAAAGTTGTAGTTTCAATATTCTTTTATACTATCGACTCTACTATTGAATAGTCTAAAAATTATTCATGAAAGATTTATGAGCTACATTGTCACAATCAAATACTTTCCAAATTATTCGCTTCAACATTCTGCCATATATTTTCTGAGTTCATGATCAGAGAAGAAATATTTTTCCGTTAGTCCTGTAGTATTTTACCTACTATAACAACAAAACTAATTTCCTATTCTTCCTTCAGATTAACATCATGAAGTAATACATATACCGACATTTAGCTATCAAAGTATTGCTAATGAACTGACAACAATGCAAAGCTTATGACATTTTACTAAGTATGGACATGCAAATTAAGTATAAAAGCATGTTCTTTATTTTCTTTAGTATACGTTTTTGTTAAATTGTTTCGTAATGCTCCTGGTTATCATTGATTGTTCAACTTAGGTCAATTCATGATCTCAAAAACCAAGATATCTTATTTGTAAATACATTTTCATTAGATGGACTTTTATTATAAGCTGAACAGTTTTAAAGGTACCAAATTATTTTCTTATATATATCATTATGTGGTCATTTTTTATTGTTTTACTCTTGTATTTAAAGGATCCTAGTAAGAGACCGGCATTTGAATATATTTGTCAAAAAATTGGAGGATACCTAGATCAAAACTGTGAGAATTGACCTAGTGGTAGGGTAAACAATAACGCATAGAAAATGATCACAGTTTTATGTAGATGGAAAAAATGAGCGATTTTGAGCTGATTTCTTGAACGAAATAAATTCTCAGAATTTGTATTATTTGTTCTGAATTTAAATAAAAAAGAGTCTGAGAGATTTCTTCGCATTTGTTAACAATGTATGTAAAAAGAAACTGAGCACCATTTACTAATGTCTATTGAGTATATAACAAATTGTTGTTCAAGTACATACGTATATCTTCAAAGTTTATACCATGACAACTATCCACGCGTGTGAATGCCAAGCATTTCAATAAAATATTACTATTCACTATGTTTATCGTTCCTTTGATTGTTTAGTTACTTCTTTTTTATGCTTGTATCTCTCTGGATTTAGTTTTAATTGTTTTGATGCGTTTATATTCTTTACCTGTGTAGTCATGTACATGTTAATTAAATTATCCAAATTACAATATGGCTTTTTTCAATACTGTCCAAAATGTTCCGGTGCTATTTTTACTGATTTCTTTATTCACATTTCTTTCTGAGAATCAACAAAATTCTATGAGGAATTGTACTAATTAGTTTTTGAACTCTTCCATGTTGAACAAAAAGATAAGCGGTTTGCTTCATTCTTTCTCGGTTGTTTGAGTATTCATTCAACGGTGTATCTTATTGTGTTTCTTTCATTGTTATCGTGTTGTTATTATTATCGTTGTTATTGCGCAATCTTTTCTCTTATTTTCAATGAAACAATAATCTGTCTAAAAAATTGTGTATTTTATTGTTTCTTTTTACATTTCATAATACTTCAACATTTTGTATGGCTTTTGCTAAATGCTCTTGTAAAAAGTGATTACCACAGATTATGTTAACTGGCACAACTGTTCTCTTCGCCCTCTTTTTTTCTAACCATATATATACATAAGCTTGTATTTATCGTGTATAGTGATTTTCAAATAATTATCAGTATAAATATGGCAAATTATAAACTTATTATTATTACTAATAGTAGCACTACTTCTGACATTACCACCACTATTGAAAAAGGACTGTCAATGAGTAAACTTATTACTTTTTTTGTTTTTCAGTTCTCATTTTCCTCTCATCATTGTTTACATTTTCACTTAGCTAATATATATATATATATATCCATTTAACTGAAAAATTTCTTATTTCTCTATTATTATTTTATCACATCTATGTTTATACAATTTAATATTATTGAAATAAATAATTGTTAGTCAATGTTGTGACGAATATGGTCTTAATTTATTTGCTTTAACAACATGATATTCAGTTTTAATTGTTATAATACTTAATTAGTACTCCAAATCCATATCAATTACCTACATTTGATGTATATGTGATACACACCGTCTATAAATGAGTAAACGGTTTTGTAAAAGAAGTCTAGTAAGCGACTAGATATAATAGTATTTTGATTGCACAAATTAAATGTTATATATTTCAATTCATAGGAATAACTTATTGAAAGAAATCGAAGAAATCTCTAATGTACTAAAACTCAAATGTATCCTTTTTCACCAAAGTAAAATCTATCCTAACCAATAATATCGGTTATTTAATCATCTACTCATGAACTTGTATAGTTTTCAACGAAAAGTCTATATTTTAGTTCCGAATAAAAAAAAATGTCTATCAGGAAATCTCTTTGAACTTCTTTATCATCTATCTAATGATTATTTGTTCACCAACAATTCAACACTCGAATGAAAGACTGTTAATATTCTAATGACTATGAATATGAAATTTTTGTCGCGTTTCTTCTTAAAAAGCCATAACTGAAAACTAGGAATTCCTTCAATTATGTGACATTCTAGTATAAAACTTTTTCATGACAATATTTAGATATTTTCAAATGTCAAAATGGCTAAAATCCAATGTTCATCTTGCGTGTAATATATTATTTGCTAATATGGTTCACTGAAGTAATCCACCTACATCTGAGTTATTATCTACAAAGTAAAATAAGCCATGGTTCAAATTGGCTTCATGTAACAAAACAATCACATTGCAGTCGATTACGTTCCGGTTTTATTAGTTTCTTGTTTATGATGTCAGTTTTATCATTACATCCAAAAAATTATTGTCCCATTCTGAGCTGACTTAAATTTCACAAATAAATCAGAGTACTTCTTTCTTTACTCATTACTCACGATTGTGATTTTTTTCGATTGATTTTCTATAAATACTGTCATGTCTATAGAATTTTTATCATTGGAATTTATCAGCGATAACAAAACTTGATGTGTCAGCCCCACAAAGTTGAAACAGCCCACTAATTTGTACATGGTCATTGTTGGAGTGATCCAGAAAATTTCTTGCAAAAGACAAGCAAGGATCAGGAAACACTAACAACTTTTCATCCAATCAGCGTTCACTTGAAGTTTTAGCCAAACATACCAAGGAAGTGAAACGTCACATGTAGAGGTTCTGATTGGCTGATTGCCATACTGCTACTATGTTTAGTAGCATTCCAGAATCTCCGAGCAACTCAAGGACATTTAAAAATATAAAAACCCTATATTTTCTGTGTTAAAATGAACCTTGGAGTAAAGTACTTCTCGCATACTCCACGTCTTCTCTCTCGTTGTTCAGGTCGCTGTATAGTTCTAGCTTGGGAGTTACAGAATAGCTTAAGAAACGAATATAGCTTTCAATTTGCAAGACTTATCAGTCATTAGCAAAATTATAGCTGTAATAAAGTCCTTCACTACTCTTCTGCAAATTTCTAAACGTATATTTTGCTCCAACCGTGTAGTAAT